CTCATGCCTTTGCAGAGGCCGAGACAGAGGCATTAAAATTAGCACCCCTATAAAGACACTAAAAATACCCGAGGGCCCGAGGGCGCTCAATGTTAACGTATTTAGGCAATTTCATGCCTTTACAAAGATATTTGACAGCCCTAGGATGGCATTAAGTTCTCCCTTTGTTTTTCCAGTACACGCGGTAGGAGGACATACGTTTATTTGTTCGCTAAAAAAAGGAAAAATATTCTCACATTAAAGACTACATTCAGCTTGGCCGACGCACAAAAATATTTCAGTTCATGTCCCCAACCCAACACTGTGAAAAAAGTAGGTAGGTTTGCAGGATAATTTTCCTTGACGCATGTTGTAAAATTACTATTTGAGATCGTAAAAATATTTGCAGTATGTATCAACTTTAAATCCCTTGGCGAGTAAAAAATGTGCTGTCGTAAATTTATAGCTTAAATTATAATTCAAGTTTACAGTATTTTTGTAAATTCACACTCACACTGGTAAACTAAGTGTTCAACTGCTCAACACTTGTAAGTGTGCAACTGCAAGTTGAATACTTGCAAGTGTACAACTCCGTCCGTAGTCGTACACTTGCAAGAGTTAAACTGGGTAGGTATGCACTTGCAAGTGTGCAACTCCTCGGTTAGATTGGACGCTTCGAAAGAAGTGCTCAACCGAGGAGTTGCACACTTGCAAGTGCACACCTACCAAGTTGCACACTTGCAAGTATTAAACTTGCAGTTGCATACTTTGAAGTGTTGAGCAGTTGAACACTTAGTTTATCAGTGCACGACGATATTTTTCACAGTGAAGAAGGGATCAGGCAAGCTGCATAGGACCATGTGCACCCTCCCATGAGGTCACAGTGTAGCGTACCGGGTGTCCAGGAGATACGTGGCATCTCGGGGGTCAATTGGGTTGCCTACACACTGGCGAGCAGGCGCGGAGAGTGAGGGGGCAGCGGAAGAGATGTGGCGGGAGGCAACCGGCTGCCTCCACGTCCCTGTTAGTGGCTACTGTACACAGTTGTTGCGACAACCACCACGGCCACAGTACGGCCGGTTGCCTCCCGCCACCTCTTCCGCTGCCCTTCGCTCTCCGCGCCTGCTCGCCAGTGCGTAGGCAACCCATCGATCTGCCGAGTATTCTTCTGGCTGGACAACCGGTATAACGAGAAGACCCGCCGCCCTTTCACGGAATGGAGTTGCCAGCGAAATAGGGTGGATCTAGGAACCCCGTCAGCACACTATTAAAACTATTTTGTGATTTCCCAACACTTGCTCGATACAGAGCAACTGTAAAATCTCAACACTTCCTTGCAGTCAAAGATCGTCCATTTTTCTATCTCAATAGACGGTTCCCGCTCTGCGCGTTTCGAGAAGAAGGAAGTAATCAGGACTGGAACCAGTATGACAAGTAAGCTTATTTTTCAAATTGTTGTAACAGTTCAGTTTCACATAGCTGACCTTAGGTAAGTCCATTCCAACTATGAAGGTTCATTTCAGGGTGAAAAATAGTAGGAAGGTTAACAGGAGAAATTTCCTTGACGCAAGTTGTAACATTACAATTTGAAATCGTAAAAATACATGCTGTACGTATCGATTTAAATTATAATTCGAGTTTACATTTTCTTTTGTAAATTTACGACGATATTTTTTACAGTGTTGCACTAGTTTTGTTTTACCGTAATTTCAGAACTGTTTGCGGTGACAACATCCTTAGTTTTTCTTGAAAAGAACACAGCGGTAACCGTCTATTCGTAATAGTTGTGGACCAAGTCGAAATACTTTTCGAGGTTAATCAATCTTCGACTACGAAGAAGAGTTGTGATTTCTTAAAAAAAAAATCTAAATCAAGATTCTATCTTGAAAGCAGATGATACAAATTTAAGAATATGTCTGTTTTCAAATTTTCTCCCGGATTTAGCTGTCATTTGTTTCTGGTTTCTTGTTATTTGCAATTTCAGCGAACAAGCGGCGTTGAAAAGCGCGGGCACAGGGGCCGGTGTCGGATAGTATTGTTGTGCAGGGAGGGGGACGGGGAGCCTAT